GACAGTGCATTGTTTGTTCAACAAGCTAGGCCAGCCTAGTAAAACTGAAGCCGTATTCACAAAACTCAAACTAAATCGGGCGCTTAACTCAGGCCCGGATTATCCAATGTAAGCGCAGTAGGCACTGTACCTGGGGCCTACGAAAAATTATGGGGCCTACGAAAATACCACAGTGCGCCAGACAACACATAAATATGCCTACCCCCATACACACACACACCCACGCAGAGAACAGTCTTTTTTTAATTTTTAGGGTCTCTCTCAGAATGTTCGATTTCACCAACCGACGCTGTACACCATAGGCACACATAAGTACATGTAGCGCCTACGTATACAATTTAATCGTAAAGGCTGTCGTTCTGAAGCACAGTACCAACCATAGGCGTCGATCGGTGGGGGAAAGGGGAAAATGCCGTCCCCTCCAACTATTTTCGTCTACAAATAAAAATATATATCTTAGATTTATGGAATTCCATCTCTGCCAAGTTACACGGCGCATGTTTGGGAGATCCAAGCAAGCCTCCCAAACATGCGCCGTCGACGGCGCATTGTCGCGTCGTGCCGTCGCATAGTCACGTCGTGCCGTCGCATAGTCGCGTCGTGCCGTCGCATTGTTTTGTACTGTTTGTATAGGGCCGTCGCATAGTCGCGTCGTGCCGTCGCATAGTCGCGTCGTGCCGTCGCAGAGTCGCATAGTCGCATAGTCGCATAGTTGCATTGTCGCATAGTCGCATAGTCGCATAGTCGCATTGTCGCATTGTCGCATAGTCGCATAGTCGCATTGTCGCATAGTTGCATTGTCGCATTGTCGCATAGTCGCATAGTCGCATAGTCGCATAGTCGCATTGTCGCATAGTCGCATAGTCGCATTGTCGCATAGTCGCATTGTCGCATTGTCGCATTGTCGCATAGTCGCATTGTCGCATTGTCGCATTGTCGCATTGTCGCATTGTCGCATAGTCGCATAGTCGCATAGTCGCATTGTCGCATTTTATAGGGGCCTATCTTGAGTTCAAATGAGGGCGCGCTCGATCGGCCTTGGTGTTTTTCTCTGCTTGCTAGCCTGAGCTGAGGCTGTGCTTCAATCATGGACGATATTTTACGTCAACTTGATCTTGATGAAACAGGATGCAACATTAAATATAGTTCTGAGAAGCTACAATTTATTCTATTCTCTTCTGGATTCTAACCCTGATTATTCTAGTATTGAGTCGGTCGGAGCTGTTGAATTTGACATGCTCACTCATAGTCATAGACATGCCCAATGAAAACTTTCACTCAAGAGAGAAACATGGAGAAGCCAAACTGACCAATCAGGTGCCAGAATTCCATTTTGTGACATCACATCCGACCAATAATAGCAATAGTTACAACTACAACAAGTCAATTAAAAAATATGTATTCAACGCATAAAAGGATTCATTAATGTATACTCTGAAGATGTAACCCTATTCATCTTTTGGCACGATTTCTAACTCGAAAGCAACTGGAATATGGGGAGGATGACCAAATTAGTTGCACCCAAACACCGCACAACAGCGCCCTCTTGGTGAAGCCCTGGAAAATTAATGAATGAAAATGCGACAATGCGACTATGCGACTATGCGACAATGCGACTATGCGACTATGCGACTATGCGACTATGCGACTATGCGACAATGCGACAATGCGCCGTGATCTCCCAAAAATGCGCCGTGTAACTTGGCAGAGATGGAATTCCATATAGATTTGATCCTATAGCTCAGAATAGCTGATTGAGTGACTCAAAACTCGAAAATGTTTAAATGATGATCTTTTGCCTTTAACTGGTAAAGGTGGTCAAAAATTGCCTCAGATAAAGATACACATGTATGTAACAACCTCTATGTTTCAGAAGAGATTGACGCCCTTGGTGCCAACAGACTGTAAGAGCTAGGGCCTTTACCATTTTGGCCTGGCTTGATTTGTACCGTTCTTTGTACTTTAATACATCAACATGAATTTTGTGCCGGTGCCTAGGGCGGAGTAAGGCCTACGGAACACTGATGCCTAGGGCCTACGAAACACGTAATCGGCCCAGGCTTAACTCTGTATTCAGGAAAGATCTAAGCATCCCATCGGTCCTAGTGCTCAACTTAACTCAAATATTTAAAGCAATCACTTTTGTTCATGCGCAAACCGTTTACGTTCCTAGAATCACTTACGTCAGTTCAATCCATTAACAAATGACAGACCTGGCTAATGCATTATACAGTAATGAGCCATAGCAACGAGACATTATGTTAAGTGCAATATTAGAAACAGTAAAATACTTGTAATGTTTCTGCATGCCGTATCGTTTTTGGTAAGAATTACTTCGTTAACACATTTGAAAGGCATGTCCTCTTTTTTTAACTGTGTACAAATGTAGTGTGTGCGTTTCCTCAACATAATCATGGGCGAGAATATTCTGCAACGCACGTCTATATTGTTCTGATATCTATGATATATCCAAGGATTAATTGCTTAAACGCTGATAAAAGTGAAATGATGGTTTTAAGTGCGCAATTTGTCTTACGCGCTGAAAAGTAGCCCATCAATTGCACCCACCCGCTTAACACAAATCAATCAAAATATGTGTTTGAATGTCGACGAACGACAATCCTAGGGCTGTCGCACATTAAGTTCATCTTGGCGTCCTAATAGTTCGACATTTAGGAAATTTTCATAAGCCCCTAAAATTCCAATTTGTTTCCTAAAATTTACAAACCAACGGACAGAAATAAAGCTGCCATGACACCCTACAGTGCCCCGCTTAACTTTACTTAAAGGCAGGTCCGACGTGTACTTTTAAGTCACAAAAACAAGAACGGCACTCAGCACATATGTTTTGTGAATATTGCTTAAATTATAAGACTAGTCGTATATTTTTTGGGGTGCTTACTTTGCCACGACTTAAGTCATTTTGTGAATACGGCGCCCAGTCCCAGACTAATTTGGTTTTAAGGTTTTAGTCTTCCGAGTCCGATTTTGGGCCCAGGTGAGGCTTACGCAAACAAAATGACAGTTGTCAGTCCGCTAGTGAGATAGTTGCAAGGAGGATTGTAGTGAGGGAGTGACCGAGTCAGACACAAAGAGGATAAATTGCTGACCCCTCCGGGACAAGCACAAATACATTTCGACCGTAATTTGCTAACAGAGAGAAGCCCGTTAAGTGAAATGTTTTCAAAAGCATGGATATACCGGTTTAAGTAAACAAAGTACTGAAGGACACTACTATTAAGATCCAACGAAATACACGAAGCAGCAGCGAATTCCGGTCTAGCACAGTATATCATTGTTAATACTATTATCATATTTTAAATGAGTAGCCAATTAAGTGGAATCCACTGGTCCCCCATGGGGCCCAGTAAAGCGAAAACAGTCTGAAGAAATTACAGTTTTGGATATGGGAGGAAAACCCATGGAACCGAGTAGGGACTGAAAAACCAATCCACATAGTGGCACAGGCAGGAATAGAACCCGGGTCGCAGCAGTGGAAGGCAAGGGAAGAACCGAAAGGCCAACCCGACTCCCTATCATGGGGAAGGAAATCATTCATTCGGATTAAGAAATTCAAAACAAAAAAGAAAACCGGTTCTTTCAGTTTTAAATATTGACAAGCATGCATGCCTTGTTGGTGATAAGCACCTCACTACATGTACATGTTCATGTTTGTGTTTTTCAAAGTGCCACCGTTTTGGAAAGGACTATGGGATATCCCCTTGCACAGCAAGGGTCTATGATATGCGAGCGGATTCGGCAATGAATTATGCAAAACAAGACTGCGTCTTGACCTCGCGGTTCCAATTATTCATTTGTTTAATCCCATTATGCTCCCTTGGACCTTTCCTCCCCTCTGCAATGTTGGTGTTTTTTATCGCTTTGTGCTTGGTCTGTGTTATGTGTCTGTCATTGTGCAGGGTTGGAGAGACACGCTCTAATGGCGACAGTGTTTTGTTTCACTTTTATTCTTCTCCTTGGCAGCCATGCACTGTCCACGTTCTGTCTTTCGTGACGGTAGTGTTTGCTTGGTTTTGATGTTGATTATATCCTCTTGTTTTAATATCCAATTGTATGTATTTTTTGTAATTGTCAACACGTCAGTAGGGCCTAAGTGGATTTTAACATGATTTTTTTATGTTGTTCATGATGAATGACCGAGACCCAGAAAAAAAGGAGAGCGGCGAATGCAATGAAATCCACGTGCAAGCAATTATTGGTGGCAACAGTCATCAGCATTGTTTTCTTCCGTATGATAGCACTTCAGGCGGAATAATTTCGCAGGGTATTTGGAACCATCTCCATCTAGACTTTGCGCAAGGTTAACCTCATTAAATCGGTAGGTCCGTTCACGGGTAATTACCAATGTTTCGAAGTGTTTCGATACAATATCCAACACATCAATCAAGTCAAGAGTCTAAGTACCAAGCCCATGCACATTAAAAGAAGGAATACGTATCCGTGTAACAACCGTTATGTAGGCTGCATTAATAACGGGAAGTAAATCCATCGGGGAGCGAGACAGGAATCTATTTGACGCGAATATTGACGTCAATATTTGCGGCTGGAGAGCGAAACGTGAAATATTTCTCGCGAATATTGACGTTAATTTTCGCAATTCGGGGCAAGTCGTAAATTTTGTGCAGAGTATTGACGTCAATATTCGTTATTGGATATTTCTTCAGAACCCCCATAGTAAACTCTACAAGTCATGAAAAAATCATGAAAAAAACGCGGATGAACAGTCATAAAAAGTGTCTTGTACAGTTTGTTCATTGTGCATCATTTTTAAAAGACGGTTTCCTTTGCGTCTATTTTTTTACATTTAAGTTGTACAATGTATATCTCCGGTGGTCCATTTTGTCATCGTGAGCCAAATGAGAACATGCCGCCGTCATATCAAAATCCATTACGGGCAGGACATTCTGTGACACTTAGGTATAGAGGGAGAACAGCAGCGAGGTGTAAATTGAATTGAAAGGTGTTTTTGCTTTACTTACTTGTTTCCAGGATGGGTCACCGGGAACGAAGCTGTAATGTAGGGAGAGAAAGGCGTACTGGCCATTAATGAAGCCAGCCCGGTAGGCCATCACCATGATGTCTCGCTGAACATCGAAGGGTGTCAACAGAATTATGACTGTGTATAAAGATAACAAATATGACACCAAAATACCATAGTTTGAATAGGGATGACTGAGGTCAGATAGTCAACTACAATTAATGGCCTAGATTTAAAACCCAATCGTTTAGCGATTTGAAACGATTCTGCCGTCATGTCCGTCTTTAACGTGTTTCCTCAGGCTTGGGAGAGTGCACATATAAATTAAAGTTAATAAGAGATTTTGGCTTGTTTGGAAAAACAAACTAACATGCACAGCCTTCTTATTGACAGCAACAATTACCACAAAACTCGATATTTTCTTGTAATCCGTTTCAACAGCATATCCTTTCTCAGCCAAAATTAGGTAAAAACACGATTGGCGATTATGTGAAAAAAGAAATAAAGTAGGCCAGATCCTCTCTCGACAAGACGATTGTTCTGGAGGAAAGTCAAACACACCCGTTCAAGCTGTGTGAGAAAGTACAAAATATATATATCGGTGCATGCGGTATTTGAAGTAGAGGCCCAACACAAAAGACTTACAACGAGGAATTAACACAACAAAAAGCACGAAACAATATTCACAAAAAATATATATCTTCAAGCTTACTTCGTGCACGTTCGGTTGCAGACAGCAAGACGTCTTGTGTTGATGCACCCGTCTCGTGAATGACCTTGATGTAATCGATACCAGCCTTCTGGAATCTAGTCATGAGATTTTCACCTGTTAACTTGTACAAGCCAAGCAGATCCCCTTCAGACCACACTATTGAGCATCTTGACCAGGACCATTTACGGAACAAGGCCACAGCGAAACGCCCCAACGCGTCTGTACGAAACGCCGTGCGCGTGAGCGTGCGATAGTGAGTCTTGTCATCCAAGACTCCCGAGACTGCGGCTCCAGACAATACGGGTGTGTTCCACTGAGAGGCTAGGTCAACAACACTTATGCACTGGAGGCTACAACCAGGACCGAAAAACACCCTGACATCGTTGCGATAGTACAACTCCGACGCGATAGCTGGGGCGATCATATTTGACTGACTGCATATCTCACCAGTTGATCGATACTCGTACGATATGCTAAAGTTCCAGTAGGCACCAGTATCCACACGTCGTTTCACCGTCTCCAAAGCCACATCGATGGCGGGTTGAATTTGGACTCGATCAAAAGGTTCTGGACTTCCCATCTCTACTAAAAGAGCTGCCCGGATTACCGGCGCTTTCGCTCTAACATATTTACTTCCGAAAAAACGAATCACGCAGAGGACCAAAAGTACGCAATCTTGCCGAAAATACATCATGGTTTAATCCTTTTTATTTTTTTTGCCAGTTTTTTCATCACTCCACTAACCAGTACAATCGATCAACTCCCGGCTCATTTTTAAAGTCGACACTGTACAAAACGCGTAGGATGCTTGTGTTCAGTACTAGTCGTGTGTAGATGCGCAGAACATGTTATCTATTATGAGCTATTCTTCGGTTACTGTACGTGTCCGCGCACTTAATCAAATTAGCACTATCAAGGACTGGGCGGCGCGTGACTTCTTTATAACGCAGAGAAAATAATACGAGAAATCAGAAGCTCTTTCAGGGTACGTCGTATGTCAAATATATAGAGCAGTGTTAACATTCATTTCAATTTAATCCAACTTTAATTTTATTTATGATTGAAAATGTTTTTCATTGTACATTGTGAGTTGAAAAGAAAGTGACCCGCTTAGATGAAAAAAAATGTGGTTCGCGCCATTTAATGAAACTAACATAAGGATGCGATACATTGTGTACATGCTATTGACTAATGAATGTTAACAATTCATGTAATCTGCATAAGTTTTTTTTTTATTTCAATAGAAATACCACAAAATTCAGCAATCCAGCACTGATCATTTACCGATGAATACATACTGATGAATACATTATAAATACAGTGAACCATGGGGTTTTTCTTACCTCCATGACTGATCGAAAAGTTGCAAAAGAAAAGACTTTTTGCTTCACATACAGGGTGACCCCAAAAAATGCAACCCTCAAACATTTGCCTTTTTTCAAAAAAGGGATAGGTGGATATTTATGATTAAAGCTAAGAGCTTTTTCTTTCAAATAATGCAAATACGGAACAAAATCATGAAAATAGCAATTTGGGTTGCTGAAAAATTGCTAATTATGTAAGATTAATCATTTTTCATCCTGTACACAAGTACTTCAAACAGTGGAACATTTTACTGTAAGCCTACTGTGAAATTATGCTTCATTTGTGCAATTTCTTTAGTATTTTGACATATTTATGATGCTAATGGGTTTAAAATAGGACTAAAAGGATGCACAAAGAGTTACTGTGAAAATCCCTTACTGTTGTAATGTTTTGTGTACAGTGTAAAAATTGACTACTTTTACACAATTGGCATTTTTAGCAAACAAAGTGCTATTATAATTTTCATGACTTATTCAGTTTTTGAACGAAAACGCTTTCAGCTTTAATCTGATACCAAAAAAAATCCATTGCATCATTTTGGGTCACCCTGTACAATACACAACAATCTGACAGTAACAAAAATGTTTCAGTTTGACTCAAATTTTATTTTATTTATTTCAAATCTTTTGACATTAACTGCAAAAGATACAATAAAGAATGTATATATAGGCAGGGGCTTTCAAGGAATGAACGAAAGTATACAGACTGTCATCAGGTTAGATCTCATTTGAATTCGAATGCCTATGTGTGATCTGTGGTGCTCAATCCCCTGAATCATAGCTTCAAAGCATTTGAAAATAAATAAATTTACCATTCTATGGACAGCTGTAAAAATTGGCTCTTTTTGTAAAACATTCAGACCTTCTAGCACGGATTTATTTCCTCTTTTTTTTGTGATGATGATTAGAAGAGCATCTAGTGCTTCAATAGTGTAACAATTTTAATTGCTTTTGAGGGAAAAATCATTAAACCCGGTCACTTAATTTTTGACTCCCACCTGAACATGATAAGATTTTGGACAAGCTTTACTGCATGGACCTTCAAAATATTGTCCTTTGAGAATTAACGTTGATTAAAACGTGTATATTCTGTTTGGTAAATATTATGGGCTACATTACATTGAAAACCATCCACTCTTGTTTTAGATTAATCAAATTACCGTGGCTTTGTTCGTCTTCATGGGAGTTTACTTGCGAATATTGGGAACTTATCTACTGTAGCCCACGCTTCCAACGCTCGGGCTGCGCAGACGTGATGCATATCAAATGGACACCTGTACGGACAATCAACACTCGTGTATTGATGCTAGTCTTACACATAGTCCGGTTCCCAGACCAGACAACTATTCCCGACGCTCACGTCTAAATTGTAGATCAGGCAGCCTCCGTGGCTAAAAATAAACATGACGACATACACGGCCCTTTTTCAAAGCTCAGCTTAATATCATACAGTTATGATAATACCGTTTGATATTTCTGTAAAAAAAAACATTGACTAATGTTGAAATTTTGGAATCTTCAAAGTTAGGCACCCGAATAGCACTGTTAGCAGGCGGCGTCGAATGGAAACCACGCCGAACTTTGCAGAACCTGGTAACGGTCGTCAGGACATGACGCAGCAAACAGTTCACCCCCCCCCCCCCTATACGATCCGAGTGCATGATGCACAAAGTCATCGTTGAATTTCTAGTTTTCTAAATGAAAGCAATGAATATCAATCATCAACTCATTTTTAAAGTTTTTAATAAGCAATTAGCAGTTAATAAAACCTATATTATACTCGGAAATACTCGGGCACTACTTGTTAACGAAATGAATTCGGCAAACTTCGGACATTTGCGGAAAAAGGAGGAATTCCTCCCGTTTTAGTCACGTGACGTAAATTGTAATACAATGTATTACTGAAGACTACCTGACCTAACATTCATCAGGAATAGTCAGAATCTTTTGGTCTGGGGACCAGACTAGTCTTACACACACACCAGCATTGTTGTTCCGTATGTGGGGACTACACACGAGTTGTCCCATGGCTTTATCGGGACCGAAGACACTGAAGCAGCAGAAAGTCCCCATAACTCGGTCCTATTTGCCTTACAATAAAAAAACTTTCCCATAACGCAGTGACAGCCCACCCAGCCTTACACATATGGGAAGACCTTGTTTCCCTCCTTTGTTACTATTGAAAATTCATAGCGTTTCCCTTATGGGGTAGTTTGACTTGTAAAGACTTCCTCATGAGGTATATTGTTCTGTTGTGTTTCTATCCCATAGGAACCCTGTACATGTACCGTACACTGAATCGTCCGACATCATGGACACAGAAGTGGGGGCAAATCCTCGTCCAAGAATGATACTTTAATTTACGGCTGGACAAATGTATGCGTATGCCACAAAATGTCCGTCGCGTCAGAAGTAAACAACCAGGCCTTTTTTTTTCGTCTTTTGCACAGGAACAGTGAGGTAGGTTAGTTTCCTTTCAACCAGACCTTTGAAATAGGATAGGCCTACGTACTCTCTAAATTCCAAAGAGTGAAATTAGGGACTAGACGTTTTAGAGTGAAAATCACCCTCAGTTCGATTGACATAGTCTGAAAACTGAACCACTTCAGTCGAAGCTCGAGTAAAACCTCGATCTTTACGATTGAAGAAATTTCAATCTAAAACGTCTAGTCCCTAGTTTCCGACTGTGGGAATGAATCTTCACTCGAACGGAGTAAATTTCCACTCTTCAGAATTTAGAGAGTAAACAACATAATTTGTTCGGGCGATTTCAGAACGAGGTACCCCCTTAAGCAACATTTTGGTGAGCATTAAGTGAAACGAGGTTCATCTTGAAGTAATCTGTGTCGAATCTGTTTAAAATGGAGCATTACAACGCGGCATCAAATTCTGGAATAGCCTTGCAGATACCATATAAGACAGTCAGGGTCCTAAATATATTCACACAAAAACTATAGACGAGGTAATCCGATCGTCAGAACTGGACCTTAGTTCAATGCAAAATACCACTGATGAAATCGTCAAATGGTTTTCTGAAAATGACATGAAGATCAATCCCAGGAAAACAAAGGAAATGGAAATCTGCTTCAGTAAATCAAGTCCACCGGTGCCATGCATCACTGTGGATGGTAATAACATTGAGCAAGTACAAACATCTAAGCTGCTTGAAGTAAGAACACACCTGTCTTGATACCTGCACTTGGAGACGATTTCGCTTCTCTTATTTAGTGTACCTAGATCTGGCCCACATATGATTATGTACTTCTCTGCTATTTAAACAGAGCTAAGTAAACATAATATGGGACATAAAGGACGAGGGGAAAGACTATGAAATCAAATGGGACATTGTTCAGAAAGCACTGCCATACTCAAACGTAAACAAGATATGCAGTTTGTGTATAGTACAGAAGTACATAATCATATGTAGGCCAGATCTAGGTACACTAAATAAGAGAAGCGAAATCGTCTCCAAGTGCAGGCATCGAGACAGGTGTGTTCTTACTTCAGTGACGTAAACGCGCGTAACGCGTGCGCGCGGTTGATTAGAAATAAGGTAAGATGCTACTTGTATTCTATTTTTGTCATTTTGCTGATGAGTGCCTTATGGTACGAAACAGTCTGTCCAGAAGAGAGATATGCCAAAGTTTGATTAGCTCATATTCTGAATTTATTGCATGGTGGGTTTGTTGGGTTAAGGGTTAATGCTACGATTTGTGTAAGATTTTGATGTGTCTTTGTTTCTAATCCAACCATTTTCATGTTTGGTTGCCAATAAATAAATTAATCGATTAATTAATTAACTCAAAACAAAGCTTATATCAAACACCGTATAACTCAATTCTGTGTTATGGTCTGATCTCCTGTTGTTTTTCATTGTATTGTGTTGTTAATTGTAGTCTTGTAATAAGTCACTTGTCCTTACCTTGTACTTTTATGTTTAACAAAGCATGTTATGATGTAACTATAATACGTGTGATATAGGGAATGGGATAGGGGAGGAATAAAAGCCCTTGGCTTCTCCTGACCCCTATGCTGACGCTTCTATAGATCCATCTTAAGATATGTTCATCCAAATTTAATTTATGACTCGTTTTTCCTTGCACATAAATTTTACTACCTCTAAAGCATACATTCAATGTTAATGTCAGCATAAAACCAAAGTAAGTACTTTATGAAAACATTTGTCGTAATAATTTCATTTCTGATTATTGTCAAG